CCCCAAAACCCCAAAACCCCAAAACCCCAAAACCCCAAAACCCCTAATCTAGAACAAATACTGAATATATTTTTCTGCTATATTTATAAAATGAATTTGAAGAGCTCCCAAAGCAGTGAAGAGGCAAAAGAAGCCAAGGTAGAAAACCCAGAAGACTTAACCGACAATAGTAAGTGTTTGCAATGTTTTTCATATAATTTTTATCACCAGAGTCTTCCATTTACTTTAAATAATGCTAAAAAAAGTGGCTTTAAGATAATAAATATTAAAGTAGCTTACTGGAGTTTCTATTACACACAATATGTAAGCTATTCCAATGAAGCTTCTTGGATACCAAATTAGTGAGAGAAGAAGATTTTGACCCCCTCACAATTGTAATATCAACTCTTTATATGCATGGAATATCACTTGTAGGCCCTAATTGTATTACCGAAGTGTGCATAAAATTCTTCAATTGCAAAGGCTATATCTCCTTTCTTTTCAAGTGAGTAAAAGAAAAGTGATTTATTGTCACAATATCACTTTCTGTAAAATTTCTAAAAGAGCTTTTGGAGAATTTTTCTCACATTTTCTATTCCTAAAGAGGTTTAGTGAAGTTTCCTGAAGTTAGGAACAGTATCTTTGCTTAAGTATTATAATAACCTATATATGCCCTTTTGTATAATCAAGAAATTCAGTACAGTATAAGTATTAAACTGTACTCTCTTTCTCAGAAGTATGGAGGTTTAAGATTAATCGGAAAAGTCTTGAAAGCATCCTAGGCATCATTTTAATTAGATTTTATCCCTAAAGTACATTACAACTATTATCTGTTCATAATTTACACAATTGGCTCTAAATTGAGCTTATGGAAAGCGGTAAAAATACCTTAATGCTTGCTCTAACTTCTAAAGAATTTAGAATTACTTCCCAAGTTATTTTTTTGCTTTATTGTTACTTAAAGAGCTCTTTATGTTTTACTTTTTGGTGATTTCTCCCATCTATGTATTTAAATTTTGTTTTTGCAGTAAACTAATTTCTTCTGAAGCTAGATGTAATCTCTGACCATAACAAGAGACTTTATGAAATGTCTACCAGTAATTTTGTAATCATTATCAGCATTATTTGCAATCTAACTGTTAAATTCCACCAAATTACATCCCTCAAAATGGCTATGGCCAATTTAGTATTATTCACTAAATTAAGAAAAGTGTCGGATGGAACTAGAAAATCCCTCTCAGGAAAAAAATATTATAAAAAGGATACACTTTTAGCCATGTAAAATTTTGTCTTAGAGATCATTCTTTGCTGATATCATCATTTTCTTATTGATGTGTGCCATTATTTTCAATTTATTTAGAGGCCTGATAAGATTATTGTGTTTACAAGCCTATCTCTTTTGAAGATATTGTATACAGTAACCCATATCCTGTGGCAAAGCTTTGCTAACATTCTCTAGCAATTTCATGCTTTAAGGAAGGGCCAAAATTCTCAAATTATTTGCTAAATTAAGCCCAGAAGTTGAAGTCTATCCTTGGTGATCATAATAGAATTTGTTAGTTTAAGAATACAGCCTTGTACTCAGCCTTAAATTCAAAATATTTTATTTAGGTTTAGACATAGATGATCCTTGTAAGATTTATTAAATTCTAAATTGCACCAAAATTAAGTATCTACGATAAGAGCAGCTAACACTAGCTGGTAATTTTAGGCCTGAGAGTTAAAACTAGATGCATGTAATTGAAGGCTGTAAAATCTGGAATTTTTAACTGATTTCATTCGACCCCTTCTATAAGCCTTCGAATATGCTTAAAAACTACGAAAAATTGCAGTATATGGTATTATAATTTTATAGTGTTTCCTTACGAATAAAATTTTGCTTTTGAGTAATCTTACTTTACCACTTTTCTTTCATATTTTGTAATATTTTGTTAAACAGACGAAATGAAAACTCCCATTGGAAAGAAGCCAAGAACCTCATTTAGCAAAGAACAAGTGCAGTTAATGACTTCATGGATAAATTCTCATCAAGAGAATCCTTATCCTAACGAAATTGAGAAATAAGGCTCTCTCAGTAGAAACAGGCCTGCATATCGACCAAGTATCGGTTTGGTTTACCAATACAAGAAAAGTAAGTGGCTTCATATTTGTTTTGGCATCCTAACAATTTTCTCTTCCTGTATCTTCTAAATTTCTGATCCCCTTCTTGTATGTACAAATCAGAAATGTATAGAATAAGCTGTGGATATAATCTGATGACCTTCCTCGCTTACATCTCTTGAGGCGTCTTTATAAATGCTAGACCAGCTAAATATTTAAGCTAATTAAAAATGGCTGCTAAAATCCTAAAATTTAGTAAATTGGGAAAATCTGGGTTAATTGATGCATTTTTGGCAGAATCTGAACAAGGAGAGTTTTCTGATATCGAATTCACTTATAATTAGTTTATTCGTGACAAATCTGATATTTTAGATTCGCTAGATTTTTTAAAATTTAGAAATTTTATCAGATTGGTAGGCTAGCTTAAGAGGTGAATTGAACCTATAAAATTTTGAAGGGGCTTTGAATACGGAGGTTTAAGGAACTTTGATAAGGTTGCCCAAAAATTTCATAAATTTTGGGTTTCATATTTTTTAAAGAAATTTCAGGCTTAACTTACTTTTATCATATTAAATCTCCAAATATTTTGAGAGCGGAGAAGGATAGAAGTGAAAGAAAGGAAATTAACCATCATCATTAACCATTATGGCTTTAGAGAAAGTTCCGACACCTCAAGAGAAAAGGCCAAAAATAAATTTTGAAAGCTTCCTGAAGAAGCCATTAAGGTAATTATTAAATATTTTCTTCTAAGTGACGACATTTTTAATTTTTTTCAGCTAGAGTATTCAGTTTTAACTCTTGATAGGACTTACCAATCCAGTTTTCAAATATTAAGGAGGATGAGACATACGTTACTCCATGAGGGCAGACAAGAACATTACATAATAATATTGAAGAAAATTCAGCTCTGACACCAGACAACATAATGTCTTGATATTCTTGGAACTTGCACATAATGCAAGCAAAATTTAGCTTCATTTCAGCAGGGCTAGATGCAAATCTAGCTGCGGCCAAATACTGTACCTGAATGCTTCCAAACTTCAAGGACCTCAACGAGTTATCTGAAAAATTATTTGATATGACTTCAGAAGACCTAATGGAAAAGAAGTAGATGACTGAGTGCTTTGTTATAGCACCAGTATATAATAGAATTCAATAACTTACTTCTTTAAGAATGATTAGCTTCACACTTCTCTGGTTTGGCTATGTAAAGTATGTAATAAGCAGTTTGGTAGTTGGTAATAGAACAAATTAAGATAATTGTCAGAATTTTCTGAGCAATGAATTTAAAATAATAAACTTTTTCCACTAGATTCCTTTCACTAGTGTTTCTACATTTTAGGCTCATTCAGTCAAACTGAGGTCGCTCGGGGTTTTGGGGTTTTGGGGTTTTGGGGTTTTGGGGGTTTTGGGG